AGTCCAAGATGAAAGTCTATCAAAGTCTATTGACTGGTTAAATACCAGGAAGGGAAAGTCAAAGAATGAGCAGTTCTTGGATCACAAGTGATGTTTTAGTGCATCTAGGAAATGTGAATTGAGATGCCAATGGCATCACAGGATACCAATAGAGTATGTGTGACAATGCAATGATATTGGACTTCTGCAACCACTAGCAACAGATAATTTAAGTCATATGTATCAGATAAGGTGAAGTTCAGTCACAAATATAAGAAAATAACAGCAGAATATGTCAGATAAATGTTCTCACTTAAACGTAGTCTGGAGATAGGCAGGAGAAGGTTGAAATGGCAGCCCTTCATTGTCACCAAGGACAAAGGCTCTTTTCATTCTCTTCTGTCATTCTAGCTCGTAGCTCCTATCTTTTATGTTGCATGATAGTCAAAGAAGGCTGTTGGAGTTTTAGCTATTATATCACATACCAGGTGGGCAGCAGGAAAAAGTAGGTAGGGGTGACAAAAGAGCACCCCTTGCAGCTGAGTTAAGCTCTGTGTAAGGACACTGCCCAGAAGTCTCAGATGGGGCATTTTCTGGCCAGAATTTACTCTCATGGGAAAACCTAGATGTAAAAGAGACTGAAACATGCAATTTTTTTTTTGGTTGGGTGGCAATATGCCCAGTTATAAATTGGGATTCTGCTCTAAGGAAAGGGAAGGATGGATACTTGAAGGAAACAAGCAGTCCCTGAATATTAAATTAAATCACATGTGCATGCATATTTGTGTCTTCACTTGAGCAAACTGACAGCAAGCCATTTATCCCAGGTTCTTTTTATAGTCTTCTATGGTAGAATCAGAAATTATAACCATAACTCACTCAAGCAGATTTTCTAAATCTGTGGGCTTCAAAGTCTGAAAGGCATCCAAGAACACATCTTGACAATCACTCTATTAGCACCTTAGACAGCACTTCACAGTCCATGAGCAGCTTTCATATTTTGTTCCATGCAATGCATTTCAGAGGTAAGCTGTTATTCCATTTCACAGATGAGTAAACTGAGGCTTAGAGAGGTTATGATAGTTGCTTGAGGTAATTCTGCTTGGACAGGAACCCACCCTTCTTTGCATATATTTGTTGCTTGTTCTGCCCCATTGAGACCACCTCTAAGCCACTGCTGGACTCTGATAATTTTTAAAAAAGACAACCAAGCTTCTGTGAATAATCAAGTCCTCTCAGCTAAGAAAAGTTTATTTTCCCTTTGAGGAATAATTATTTATGCCACTCCAGTTTGCATTGAGAAAATTCAGGCAACAATGGAAAAACCACTGGAGGGAATTCACACTTCCAATTTCTTTCACTTTTCTGTTTGTTTTGTGCAATTCCCTCAAGTAGTTAACATGAATGTCTGATTAAATGAACAGAGTAATGGGGACCCTCCATGTATATACTTGTAAAAATATTAGCCATCTTACTGCTTTAAGCATGTTAGAATCAATCCCAAAGACCAGTTCTACTCATCTGCCACAGGCCACCTTCACCCATTCTCTGCCTGAAATCCTATACCCTGCTTCTTCTTTCTCCCCATGGAGGAATCCTTATCCTTCTAGTGCTTCACTTAAAAATCACCTTGTAAACAAAGTCTTTCTGCTATGTCTGGCAGAATGAATTCCTCTCCCTCACACTTCTGGGCTCATCCAGCTTTCTAGAGATTAGAGTGTTGTCTCCAGGTGTAGACCTGGATTTGTCTGAGTCACCAGCCAGATGGGGCAGCATCACATTCTACTTCAGTGATTTTCAATGTGGCCCCTGGACCAGAAGCAGCAGCATCACCTGGAAACTTGTTAGAAATGCCCATTCTAGACCTACAGAGTCCCACACATGAGGAGGGGGAGGCCCAGCCATCTGTGTTTTAACAAGCCCTCCAGGGGATTCTGATGCACATTGAAGTTTGACAAGCACTGTTCCATTCTCTTTGTCTCCCTCCTTTGTGTCACAGAGTCTGAGTGGCTGCCATGAACTGTTTTGCAGGCTCTGTTACAACACAACCAATATACAGGCATGACTAAGATAGAACCAAACTCCACTGCTAGTGTTACCTCTGCTTATTAGAGCTGAAATGTGTTAACCTTACTTACTGGACTGGTTGTCAGAAAGGAAGAAAACTCTGTCGGGTTACATCAGCAAGAATAAATTGCCAGCTGACACTCTTTGCATGTGGTAGTCACAAATACTATAAATCATTGACTGGAGTTTGGTGACAGCTTTCTTGCCCCACCTCTGTGCAGACAACATCTCGTTAGTGAGTCATGGAGATGCTAACAATATATTTACTGCATCTTCTGAGAAGTCTGGCAATTCTGTGAGTTATTTTTCTTTTTGTGTGTGAAACATCATAAAAAAGACTTGCAGTGTTTCATTTCTTTTTCTATTACACTCTCCTGCTGCTTTTATAATGCTCTTTCTAAAAAATATAGATATATAATAACAAGAGAATTTGTTTCCTGAATAGAACGGATCACACATCACCTTCTATCTGTGTGTATGTGTTTTTCTCCCTAGCCATATTTGTACACATGGGAAATAATCCTGTCTATAATGTCATCTTTAAAAGGCTGCCTCAAGGAATCTCAGTGTTGTAGGCAAAATTGGATTTTGCTGCCCTGGATCACATTATTGCTTTTCTAATTTGACTATGGCTTATCCAGAACTAGAAAACTTGGTCAGCTGGCCTATTGATTCCTTGCCCCCCAAACTTTTCTACTTGTGCCTACAGCTGAACTTGTACCTCATATTTTAACTTGCTACTCAGAAGATACAAGGTTCAGGTTGTTAATCTTTCTGAAAAATGATGCTTCTGCTGTTTTTTTTTTCCCTTCTTTCAGAGTACAAGTACTGCTGCAGAAGGAAATGGGCCAAAGACACAGAGATGAGCAGGGAATCTTACCTAATTTTGTATAATATTTGATTTGAATATGGGATACATGCTAGGACCCTTAATTCCCACCACTTCTACATGAGGTTTGTAGAGAACAGTAATATGCACTTCCATGAAAGTGCTAGAAGATCTTCCACTTTAGGGACGGCTGTACCATGAAACACCTTTATAACACTGGGCAAGTAGTCCAAATTCTCTGGTCTTCAATTTTCTCAGACAGCAAGGAGCTTGGAAGAAATGGCTTTTAATATTTCCTTCTAAGTCAAAATAATACTTTTCAGAATATAACTTTATAATATTTATACATACAAATAGTTGATAAAAGCATATTTCATTTTATCAATAGCTCCTTTTCTGGCCAAGGAGGATGAGTAAGAGAATGACCAATAAAGAGAATGAATACTCTTAGATTTCTCTAATCATGAGACATCTTTTAAAATTTAATTTTAACTAGTTATACTTTATTTATAGACACAATGTGATGTGTTGATACATATATAAAATGTGTGATGTTCAAACACATCTTCAGACAAGTGAAGTAGGAAAGGTGTCAGCACATTCTAGTCAATGATTTGTAATATCTGTGACTACTACTGCCTAGTGTCCCTTTATGGAGCAAGAAAAACAATTCTCTGCTTACAAAGTCTTCAGCCAAACACTGCAAGGCCCATTATCTGATCTTTCACCTGACTTTCTGTATAACTCTTGATAGACTCCCACTGATGACATCTTTTTCCTTTATCATTTCAAAAAGAAATTATCCCCTTAGAGAGGGAAAGTTGATATTTATTGTCTAACATTAGAAATTCTCAGTGATGTCCTGTCTCTTTTGTCATCTGCTGGCAACGAATGTACTTGTCTGAACCACTACAGTACAAAATCTCTTCACCCTTACTCTTGAAACAAGTGACCACTCAGAAAATTGGCATGTTAGTGCTGGGGAATTCATATATTTCCCCACTCTCAGCAATCCTTAAGACGGCAGCAATTGATATATAAATACACTCTCTCACTTGCAGGCTGGAGATGAGGCCATAGGGGTAATTCTTCTATCCTGACTCCCAGAATGTATCAGCAGGATTAAGCTCTAGGTACCCATAGTGATGACTGCTTTGATAAGGTAGCTTTTCCCTCTTTTCCTTACCGTACTTCTGTACTCCTACCAGTGTTTTTGATTATTTGTTTGTTTTGCAAATCTCTAAATAAACTGCTTAAACTAAAATCTTCTTTGGCATTTGCTTCTAAGGAAAATTAATATAAAAGAGAGCTATTTGGTAAAATTTTAAAAATTTGAATTTGGAATACAAGAGAGGGAGACTGAGCAAGAAATAGAAATTCAAACCCAAATAGTGCCTTTGCTTTGACACCACACAATAGCTAACATAATCCTCTGAGTACTGTAGACAATTTTCACATGGATTGACGCATGACTTCACACACTACGTGGTTCAATGAGTATTAATGTCCACATCCAGCAGCATGATTGTTCCTGAAAGAGTATACTGCCTTCTCAATGTTTTACTAATCTCTCAATAATGACACTCAGCAGGATATCTAAGATGTCTTTCTTGTTGTGGTGACTTGGTTTCTTAGATGTTTCCACTTTAGTTGAGAATACTTTTGTTCCTGGCTTGGTTCTCCTTCTGAATAAAATCCCACATTTATAGCATTTGGGGAATGTCTCCATAGAAAGGATGTGGTTCTCAAGGATGTGATCTACTGCTCTGATTTCCAAGAGTACGCTAAAGAACACTCACCTCTTGTGCAAACAGTTGAGGATTCCAATTATATTTTAAATATTAGTGCTAAAGTTTGTATATTGAATGACCCTCAAAGGCCCAGGTATTAAAGGCAAAGTCTCTGGTTTGGTGCTTTTGAGAGGTAGCAAAAAGTTTAAAAGGTGGAGTCAAGTGGGAAGTCTTAG